TCTTAAATTAAAACTAAATGTTGGTATATTTATTTATTTATTAAAAAATATACAGGTTAAGCCCCTTATACAATTAAGTTGATAAACATACAAGGTAAGATGAAGCAATAAAATTAGTAACATGATGATAGTAACAGAAAATAAAAATCAAGATCATTGTAATAGACATATTACAAGGATTTGTATGAAGATTTTTTAATAGATTTTCATATAAGATTTTTAAGTACCTACCCACCTATTGCTGAAATATCAAAATGTATTATTAAAAACTCTTAAATCTCACAGCAACCACCGGTATGTGGTTATTCGTATAAAAGGAAGCCCCTGAAATATTCAATCCTAAGCTCAGATTTTAAAGCTACACCATGGATTGCTTAAACAGAAAAATAGCAAACAATAAAATCTTTTTTTTAAGGGTGAACATTGATCATGATTCATGAGTAATATTATTATAATGTGTTGAGTTATTATTTTTATTATTATTTCTATTATTATTATTATTTTATTGTTCCTTAAAAGGTTAAATAATTTCTCAATCTTTGCAAGATTATAAATACTTAGGTATTTAGATTTACATCAAATTAAAACTTAAATATTCAAATATATAAAATAAAAAAAATACACAATAATATTGACTGTCTGAGAGTAGGGAAATGGCATTTATATGTTAWATAAATTAAAGATCTTACTATTATAGCCMCTTGATTCATAATTTGACTTAMAATTTTATACRTAATATTTTACTGGGCCTTTGGTCTTGAGCAGTTGATCTACCCTTGACGGAATTGACAGCAAAAGCTCTTTACAAGTTGTTATCTCTACCGGCATCATAGTTTCTACTCTAGGATCTTTCTGGCAGTAATCCACAACAGTCTATAATGAGACACAGATAACTGATTATCAATTACATCATCATTAGGGTGAACAATAGGTATTGAGAATTAAAAACAAAAGATGGGTGCCTATAAAAAAAGCTTCTTTAAATTCTAGGTACCTAGCCATTTATAACAAATGATTTAAGCTACCAAATATAGTATAATAGGTATCTATAATGCGGTATTATAGATTATACAGTTTATGTTTTTTAATAGTATTTATTAATTATTATTTTATATAGTTTCAATAATAACACTATACAGCCATTGAGGTATGTCAATATTATATATTTTTAAGCTTTAAAAAATGCCAGTACAATTTTTAAATGATTATTATTGTACATACAGGTATTTGTGTTCAAACAGTCTTATATAGTTAGGTACCTATTTTAGGTTTCAATCAGAATAGGGAACATAAAAAATATTGAAAAATAACTCAGAAAAATAACTTTGRGTCAGATGCAGATGCTTGTAAAATCACTAATGCAGCTGTCATTCCAGATCCATCTTACCATTGGTAACTGGGCTCATTTTTTATGGGGTTTGGTCTAGACAGTTTTAACCAAAACATATTAAAAACAATATTTTCAAAGCAATTTACAAGTAGTAATGTAGTATTATGCCAAATAATACACACAACGGCTGTATAGGCAAAACAACTGAAAATTCGAAACAGCAAAATTTCATGGGAATTATTAGGAATGMTTGTGTTGGTAAAGATTATAATATCTAAAACTTCTAAAAAAAAAATTAAATGGTATAAATAATAAAAACTCCATACCTGGTAATATTGTTTACATTGGAACAAAATCTCCAATTTAACGTTCTTTTGATTGACAATCTTTTTATTATTGCATCTAGCCATGTGCAAATAAGCCAACAACACTGGTTTCACATATTGTTCACTCAATAGTTCTGGCAACTTTCTTTCCCTAAAATCAATGAACATTTTTTTTTTTTATTAAAGTATAAAATGTTAATATCAAATAATAACAAAATCGAAATGTTCACATACACATAAAACGATTCGACAAATTTCGTATAATATTTAATAGCCGACGACGAATAGCGATTGATCTTCTTAATCGCGATTTCCACGAGCACCAGTTTATTATTGACGTGTCGYTCGTACTTAATATCCATCATATCGCTATACACTGTTCCTAATTCGTACCAAATGCGTCTACAAATATTCATGCAATTCTCCTCGTTGAGTCTATTGGCCGTCAATTCTAAGTCCACGATTCCTTTTTTGAAAAGTTTTCCCATCCTAAATGTTTATACACGGACGTGATTTTATGAATCATATACATTGTATATAATATATTATATTCACCGAAGTGTTGGGTAAAACACTTTTGAAAAGTAATAAGCTAATACAATTACGTTACCTAATATAAAATATATATATATATAATATTATTATTTAAATTAAATTTGCGTTATCCAACATTATTTTAATGACGTGTAACTACATAAGTAGATAAGTAAGGCGTTACAAATAACGATACATTTTTTATTCAATTTAGAAATTTTAAATCAGTCCATAACGACTAATAAGTAACAAAAACACTTATCTATTTATATACATTTWTATAAAAAACAAAATGTATAAAACGTATATTATACGCCATATTTGGTGTTTGGTGAGGTAGGCACCCATAACCGTATAACGTTGAGATAGATTGTATAATATTATTTATTATTATTTTAGACTATTGGTTAAGAGTGTTAGGACTGTAGTTTACTTAAGGGAATCGGTGATGAAGGGTGGACAGTTTTTAAGTAATTCGAAATAGGCAATTTTTTCAAATGGCATCTACATATATGTGCTAATTTGTAATTATTATATACATAGACAGTGTTATATTATATATTATGTTAGCGTAAACGTATAGATAGCGGTAAATCCTATAGGTTTCGTCGACTGCTATCGGTAAAACCTAAGATATACAAAATAGTTTAGTCAAACCCTAAATGATTTTTGTAATTCGGACTTTCAGTTGACATTCGGCATAAAAAATATCACACAATTGGTAAACAATTTCGGACTTTTACTAACACTGATTGTTTATTCTAACATTTATCAAATCTCGTTTGTAAAAGTCCGAACTACAAAAATCATTCGGGGTTTGACTAAACTATTTTGTTTACCAACAGCAATCSGTGAAACCTAGGATTTACCGGTAGGTACCTAAATCCTAGGTTTTACCGCCATTCGTAATTTTACCGTGTAACACATATATATTATAAATATGTGTATATATATAGATGTTAAAATTATTTTCAAGCCGTTAAAAAAAAAGAAGTTTTACACTTTAAACGAATTTGCACCAGTTACTGTTTAGTTACAATATAACTACTATTATGATAATAATGAAATTATAATTGATGAATTTAAATAATTAAAGAATATATACCTAATAAAACTATTTTCTGTTTTCAAGTAAATAAACAATTGTTTATACTTCATATAATACAATCGTTTATTAACCATTGTTTAAAAATATGAAAAATTGCTGACCTTGACTAAATAATTAATGATACTTTACTGCCTAACTAATAACTAAGTTTACAATTAAAATTATAACTTGTTAATTATAATAATCATTATCGTTAAAGTACCAACAAATTTAAAGTATATATAATAGGCACTGAAATAATAATAAAAGAATACAATTGTAAAATAAAAKGATTAAAATAAAACACCTCTTTTCAAATAAATTATATAATACAATGTACCTACAAAATGTTATTTTTGAGATTAGATATTTTAGAGATGTAACCATAACGCCTAAGTTAAATACTCTGAATTATAGTATAGATATACTAAAGTTAACAGTAAGACCACACGAGCTCGTAGTTTAGAATATTAAAAGTTATAACGAAATTAATTATATAAGCTATAGGTACCAGTAACACATAAACTGTCAAGTTTTTGAATCTATATTTCGCCAAAATCACTTTGTTAATTATTACTGTTGTATTTGGAAAATTTATACTGCAATTGTATGTTTTAAACTGGATATTTATAATTTTTAAAGTTTTAACTTAAATTGTCGTTGCAATTTTGTAAACGAAAAATAATTTGTTCGATTATGTCTATACCAGCTATAGGCATTTGTCTCCATATTTTTTCATGTGCATTTATGTACAAAGCAAAAATCGTTGCGATTGGCAACCTTTTTTGAGTGGAGGTAGAAACTTTAATGAGCTATGACTGCAGTCCCATGGGAGCCCGGATATAATATAAATACTGCCATAATTAAAGTCAAACAAATTACTATATTATTTTATATTTTGTGAAATATCATAAATAGCGTTTTTATTATTTTAGTTTTTTCACGCACACAAAAATACACATTTTAATTATATATTTAGGTGTATAAATAGGTATATTTGTATTTTTTTCCCGTTCATCTGGTGCATGATATGTATATATATTGAAGCAGATAGAGCGGGAAAAAGGAGGTTAACTAGCAGCAGGTACCATCGGATTTTTTTTTTTTTGGCTCGTCTATTTTATGAGCCCAGTCGGAAGTGCTAACTTGAACCGGCCGTTATTCTTTTTATTTTTTCTATTTTTTATTCCCGATTATTTATTTTGGATAATATGGACTTCACACTGTTTCCRCTTCAGTCTTCAAACACGAATTCGTACACAAACGTGAATGTATGCAGAAAAAAATATATGTGCTTTCGCATACGACATTAATTTAAGTCGTTAAACAATAAACATAAAATACCAAATGATTAAGAATATATATCATATTATTGTACACCTACAATATAATATATTGTGTGGGTAATATAATATGATTTCAGTTCATACGCTTATTACGCTGTTGAGTAGGTCAAATAAATGTGTCGAAAACTCGAATGTGCAGTCCGAATAAAATAAAATAACGCATATTTTATTCTAATTTATAATTCTGTTCTAAATGCTTATGATACTCAATATCTCAATTTAATAYGTGTACGTGCAAGTACAAGTCATCACCACCATAGTGTTGCACACATTAATGGTCGACAATTTATCATCATTTTTGTCTACTTTTTAACCATCCTATCGATCGACCTATAATACTTCAGAAAACTTATCTAAATTGGTTAAAATGTCTATTTGAGGTCGGATAAGTGCACATTTTAAGATTTTTAATTTAAATCCCGAATAATCAATGTTTGAAAATTAAAAAATATTCAAATTAAATTTTTAGTAATTGGGGGAGAGATGAAATTAGGAAATAAGGACTAACCTATCTCATAAGAAGACATAATAACGAATTCAAATCGATTTAAAAAATTATATTACCTATCGCATGACTAGGTCAATCAGTATGAATAGTATGATACAGGCAAAATATTGGTATGTTTTAACTAAAATAATAACTGTCCGCCATTGATCTCTTTAATATAAGTCATAAATAAAATTTTTTTTGAATTATTATTTTATTTTTCACCAACAACATTAATTCCTGGATCTTAAATGTTAAATAATAATTAATATTGTTAATTGTTATCYAATACTTTCAGAATAGAAAAAAAAAAATAATTGATTTTTGATTTTTCTCGAATATTATACAACTCCATTCTCATTCTTATTACCTATAGTACATTACACATTTATAACTTATAGCAGTGACGCCAAAAACTCACGTTACTTAATATAAATCAATTTTAAAAAGTAGGTTCGTCACGATTGCTTTAATTTAAATAATACGTAGTTGAAAAATATTTTCAATTTGCGTTACGCCAATACCCAACACTGCGTACAAGACGCGTAATATTGATACATTATTATAGGTATTATACTTGTCTGGGTTTTCTTGAAAGTAAGTCAATAGTTTGTACACAGTACATGTGTCCATACACAGATCCGAGTAGTAATTGGCTGTCTTTTCAAACGAATAATACTTTTTTGTAGCGGCAAGATTTGACAATATGCTGTTAGCCAACGTTAGCGCGTCTTCGTAATTATTCACATAGTACTGTGTCACACGTTCTTCGTTCCACATGTTGAAATTCTTGAATAATAAATTATTAAAGATCACTGTGAAATCAGTCAACACGTAACATATATTACTACATGGTATATGATAAAAGTATATAATATTAATGTATTATTCCTATCATGAAATATTATCCTCTTAAGCCTGCAGGTTTATACATACTAGGCGATGGTCTATGCGATTTATGCTTCAACAAYCTGGTCTTGGACTTCTTCAGTAATCTCAATCCGTATCTGGCCCAACAACGCGAAATGTCTGCTGAATATTGTCTGTAAGTTTCTGAACTGAAACATTTTTTTT